GGGCAATTCAGCAAGATCATAGAAACCATGTGTTTGGAGCTGCCTGTCAGCAAAAGCTGCCCGAGATTCTGTAAATATCAGGACAAATATTGCCGATAAGGGCAAAATAGATGGCTTTGGGAAAACTTTCTACAGTCTGCAAATTTCTTGTGTGGTCACTGCTTCTTTTAAAGAACCAAACTACAATTATTATTTGGAACATATTTCCTGTCTCTCACTTTAGATTCCAGCCCATGCCTTTCTCCAACTATTTGTTGTTTCCTTGAGTAAGCACAGTTGATTACAGAGGTGCTTACAACATTGGGTGAGAAGTTAACAAGATAGGTCAGTGTGACTATTATCCTAAAATGTAGTGACTAAAACAACTATTTTATTTTTCTTATAATATTTTGGGTCCAAATTCTTGAAGAGACTGGGACTAACGTTCTCATGGATCTGAAGTCATTTCTGAAGGCTCAGTTTAGCTCTATATATCCAATGGAACTCACATGGCTTTCAATTTATGTCAGCTGGGATGTTAACCCAAGCAACCTACAAACAAATAACCTCTTCATGCTGTCTTACTTCCTCATAATATGGCAGACTCTAGGCAATAATACAGAACAAAACTCCAAATAAGAGTGTGTAAAATGGAAGCTGCATCCTTTTTATTAATCACCTAGATGTCACGCAGCATCATTTCTATCCCACTCTACTGGGTACTAAAAAGTGAGTTATAAGCCGCTCAACCTCCAGAAGAGGGCACACATACCCTTAACTCCTTAACCTTAGCAGGAGTTAAAGGTATCAAGGTCACATTGTAGAAGATGTAATATAGGAGACATTGCTGAGACCTTATTTGGAAAATATAACCTGCCACACAGGTTAGCAAAAATAGAATGTGTGAAGTCACTGAATTCAAGGTATAGAGGTCAGCAGACTGTGAAAGGCAGAAACTGCAGAATGTTTACATCTGTGCAATCACAAGAGCAAAAGGACTCAAGAACAGAAATTAATCACATCGGGCTAAAGTTTCAGTAGACATCCCTTTCTGTGTTCTACATTCCGGGTGTCAGTGAAACTCCTATGTCAATATAATCATTCCACAAACTTCTACGTGCCTCCTTAGTATGTATAGCAGGGACTATATTGGACCATTAGCACATATCAATAAATACAACCCCAGAAAGTCCTACCTTCAAGGAGAGTGCAGTCTAGTTAAAGCTATTGAAAGAAGTCTCAGGGCTAAGAATAAAGTAGAAGAGAAAGGCCGGTAATCCTCTAACTTGCTTGTTCTGCCCTGAAGGATGCTTGGGGCTAAAGTTTTGGCACCTGGTCCTGCCACAAAGGTGTGAGGTATTTGTGAAAGAATTTATATATATAAAAAGAATTAATTTGTGGTTGGAGAGAGTACCACAGTTAGGGTGCTTAATTTCCACACAGTGGACCGGGTTCAATCTCAGCACCCCACATGGTCCCCAAGCACCATCAGTAGTAATTTCTGAGTGCAGAGTCAGGAGTAACCCTTGAGCATTGACAGGGTATGGCCCAAAAAACAAAAAAAAGAGTTAATTTGTCCTGTGAGTTTAAAGAGGGCCACTGGGAACCACTGACCTCTCACTTTTCTCTAAGCAAGCTGTTTTATACTCATCTTGTGACCTCTATTCTACCTCCCAGTGTCATAGTCAATATCCAAATGGGCCCTGTAGCAAGCATACTGCTTGCCATCCTCTCCCCATAAACACCCTTTGTCATGTACTTTGGAGTCCCATAGGACACTCTCTACTCCCTTCCCATTTGATTTGCCAATAGAACAAGGCTCTTGTCTAAGAGTGGTTTGAGACTACATCAAAAGAGGTTTTGAAGATTTCTTCTGTGTTCTTACACCTCTGCCACTGCTGTGCAAGCATACTGGTATTAGCGTACTGCAGAATGAGCAATATGGGGAGTACATCCCAATCATACCCCTGAGAAAACCGGGTTCAATTCCTCACATCCCACATGCTTCCGTGAGCACTGCCAGGAGTAATTTCCAAGTACACCATCAGGAGTAACCCCTGAACAACAGCCAGCCCAGCCCCAAAACATGAATAAGCTAAGGCAAGATGTCAGATGCATGAACAAAATCTTAGAATCATGTGCTGCAAACTGTGTGGTTGTTATTAAGGCAGCATTTGGTGAGCAATAGTGGGGTCATCTGAAGGAAAAAAAGAAGAATTCTTGCTTCTGGAGACCTATTTACAGTTCTATTTTGAAGACAGTCAGCACAGGTCCCTGTCATTGCCGGTGCTACCTTGGTGCTGGGTTGTGTGGAAGGAAACCAGAGTCAGAATTAACAGAGGTGCCTCTAGATTTGTGACAAGGGTGAGGTGCAGTGGGATGAAATGAATAAGGTTTCATTTCTCTCTGTGAAAGGCTGCTATTTTATGTCTCCTTATCTGAAAGGACAAAATTCACTCCTAGTGCCTATAAAGATCAAGGGATGAAGAAGCTGTAAGAATAAAGCAAACATTCCAGTCACCCCCTTTGATACCTTTTACCCAACAAGACGCCTACACTGTCCTTTGTGTTTTGAGATGTTTATTTCTGCAATTTTAAATGTTAATTTTTATTTAATGCTAAACTATGCAAATGACACCAATTCAATACTGTACAGTAAAACACACAAATACAACATCAAACAATAGCATGTGGAACAAATCTAAAGCAGAACATTTATGTGCCTTCAAAATTGATAATTATTGAGGATAACTCTTTTTGTTTTGGGGCTGTACTTGGGGCTTGTTCCTGGCTCTCTGTGCTCAGGGATCTCTTCTGGGGGAGCTCAGGGGAGCATATGTGGTACGGGAAGCCTGTTGGCACCTTGCAAGGTAAGCAAGTACCCTTTGTGCAGTCCCGTCTGGCCCCTTCACTTTTCTATTACTAAATTAGAAATGCTCGAGCGGGCCCAGTAACGTCTCCATTGGAGACTTTGTTGTTACTGTGTCTGGCATATCGAATACGTCACGGGGAGCTTGCCAGGCTTACCGGGCCCGCTCGAGCAAATTAGAAATAAAAGTCCCAGAAGACAGCTCAATGACTTAAAGTGATTGTTTGGGCAATCACAAAGCCATGAGTTCAGACTCTGGTGCCACTGACAAGCTAAGGTCATCAGGATGGTCCACCTGTTTGTAGGGCCTGAGAGATGGCTCAACTAGAAGTGCCCAAGGTGTGAGGTCCTGAGATTAAGCCCTAGTGTGGTACATGCTACAGGGTGATCCTGACAGTCATTGGTCAGGGGTACACTGATGGGGAAAAGTTTTTTGAATAGGAAAAAACTGTGTAGGGAATATTATTAGGAGGATGGAGCCCTTGCCATTCACTCTATGAATGTCTTGGCAGTAATCTTGGCAAACCCAAGTTCTTTTTTTCTAGAATGCCATCAAGCAAAGGCAAAGGGCAGGCAACTTAATGGTTTCCAAATCATTGTGGCAACACGTTTGAGAGTAAAAAAAAAAAAGCCTCAAAAAGAGGCCAAACAAAACCGACCTCTTAACAAAGTGGAGTAAGGAGGCCAGAGCAGGTAGAGGCTTGCCTTGCACACGGCTCACGGGGTTCAATTCGGCATCCTAAATGGTTCCCTAAACCCCGCCAGGAGTTAATTGCGGAGTGCAGAGCCAGTAGTAAGCCCTGAGCTCCACCGGGTGTGGCTCCAATACAAAAGCAAAAAAATGGAGTAGGGGCTTTCCCGACAAGTGTCAAGCTTTCCCATGAGCCGTTTGTCCATTTGTGTCTTGCGCAGTCCCTATCAGCATGCAGTTACTCCAGGGCTCATTGTCTTTGCACACTCCAGGAGGTCTGGGGCCACACTTTTTAAATCCACTATTTCCAGAGTCTAAAACACATGAGAGCCCCCAAGAACGCCTGGGAAAGGAAAGCAGATGGGAAGACAATTTCAAAGGGAGGGGGAAGCAAGAGACTGGAAGAGGCCGCGGGCCTAATTAAGTCTCTCACAAGGCGCTGACCAACTGATCACTAGTTCGTGACCTCAAGAAATTTTTTTAGCCCCTAACTATGCATGCACCGACAGGGAGTCTCTATGGGGGTAGGAGAAAGACCAAAAGCCCAATCCCTTACCTTTACCTGGTGTGGCTCTTTGAACTTTTACTCCTGTATGCACCAAGAAAAACAACACGGGCGTTGGAGGCCAAAAGAAAATAAAAAAAACCTCAAAAAGAAAAAAAAAAAACCCTTCCCTGTGGGGGGCATCTCTCCGTTTGAAAACACGAAACCTTCATTTACTCGCACCCCTCGCGGCCTTGGCGATTTTCAAACATTCAGAATGCCAACTCCGAAGTAGCAGCCGGGAGGCAAAACAAGTTTCAGGGACCCGCGCTGCTCAGTTTGGGGGCACTCTAGACTAAGTTCGGGAGCTGCTCGACCTTTCAGTTGCCCGCGGAGCACCTGGCGATCTCGCTTAACGGTGCAGAGTCAAAGGTCGGGGGGCTGGAGGCGGAGCGGCCGCCTCGGGGAAACAGGTGAGGCTGCTTTGTGGCTTCGAGGGCCAGCCTGGGAGGAGCCCGAGGACGCGAGGCCGTCCCCAACCCAGCCAGGTGGATGCACACCCAGCCCCCGGGTTCCGGCTGGCTGTCCCGCACGTCCTCGGCCTTCCGCCGGGCGGGGAGGAGCCGGGGGCGGAGCGGGAGGAGTGGCGCGGGCCCCGCGTGGGTCCTGCCTGCGAGCACCTCGGCCCCGTGGAGAGGCGGCCGAGCTGCGGCGGCGCAGGAGGGGGCGGGTTCGGCGAGGGCGCGGCCTCTGGGAGGGGGGCGTACGTCGCGCATCCCCCGCGCTCGCCCGGGCCACTCGGGAGCCTCGCGGCAGCCTGGTGCCCCACTTGGCAATCTGCTCCGTGCCAGCTTCCTCGCGCCCGCCTCCTCTTGTCACCTCCCGTCTCAGCCTCCTCGCTTGGTCCTCGCCGCATCCGGCGCCAGCGCCGAGTGCCTCGGAGAGCGAGAGGTGGTGCGCGGGGCAGCCGGGCGCACCCTCCAGCGGACCCCCTCGCGCGGCACTTGGGGCGGCACGGGCAGCGGGCATGGATAGCCAGCGCTGCTTCGCCAACCGCTTCGATGACTACCAGGGCAGCCTGCTGGGGGGCCAGTGCGAGGAGACGGTGGCGCCCTTGGTCACTGCCACCATCGAGCGCATCCTCCAGGAGATCCCCCCGCTCGGGGGCGGCGCCGAGGCCGGCGGGGCGGCAGCCGCGGCCAGCTGCTGCCAAGGGGGGCTGTACAGCGGCGTGGCCGGGGTGGCCTATATGCTCTTCCACGTCTCACAGAGCCCACTCTTGGCCGCGGCTCGAGAGCGCTACCTGCGCTCGGCCAAGCGCCTCATCGACGCGTGCGCCCGCGCCGAGGAGTGGGGCGAACCGGACGCCGACACCCGCGCCGCTTTCCTGCTCGGGGGCGCGGGCGTGTACGCCGTGGCCACGCTCGTGTACCACGCCCTGGGCCGGTCTGACTACGTGCAGCCGCTGGCCAAGTTCCGGGCTCTGTGCGCCGTCTGCGCGCCCGTCTCCTTCCTCGAGTGCGGCTCCGACGAGCTGTTCGTCGGCCGCGCGGGCTACCTGTGCGCCGCGCTCGTGCTCAAGCAGAAACTCGCCCAGGAGGTAAGGCAGCCCCGGCCGCCGGGGGGCGCTCGCCGCCGCCCCGCTTCCCCTCCCAGAGCGCTACCCCGGGCTAGTCTCCCCCGCTGCTTTGTTACTCTTTGTCTGGCGTCGTCGCTTCTTCACTCTCACGAGGGTTAGCTCCTGCTTTTATCTGCCCGCCCTCCTCTCTCAGACTTTGGTCTGTTGCGATCTCGCGGTTTTGTGCTCGGCGGGTGTTTTACCGTAAGCGGGGCCTCTCCCCAGACGCCTCTTTGCCCATTTAGGCTTCCCGAGACTGACGGTTTGGTTGGTCCTTTCAAGTCAGATAAAAACGCCTCAACAAAGAAAGGGAATTCCCCTTCCTTTGACGCCCCTTTCAAAAGCTGAAGCTCCCTGGGTTATTTGAGTACTGGGAAAGTGATGGAAGTTTTGGGTACTGCTGATGATGCTTGCCTTGTTGCCCTCGCTAATGTGGGCAGAAGTTGCTCCGGAGAGACCTGGGTTTGCAACTCAGAATGACTGCCCAGCTGTAGGTCTGACGTGCTGTGTTGCTTACGATTCATCCCCCTCCCCACCCACCCCCGCCGCTCGTGTAAAATGCAGGTCTGATGGGGGCATATCCTTTAAAATACAAAAATGTAAACCTAACTCTATCCCACCATGGTTGAATGCGCAGGGGGTTGGGTCCCCCCCCCACCATTTTAAAATGCATACTCAGGGTTGTCCGGATGAGAGTGTTCTTGAGAGAGCAGCTTTTCTTAATGAATAGCTTTCCAGTGACTTGAAATGAACTGGAATTTACAACTGTACTTCTCTCACAGTCCCTCACATTCTCTTTGCATACCGTGTGTGGGTAATAGAAGCTAGTGTGCCAGTTCCTGTGGTGTAGGGTGCATGATCTCTAAGGAATCATCATAACTAGAACTGAGAGAGGTACTTTCATTCATAACCCACTAGAACCAGATATTGTTCGAGGGAGGAAGTGACACATTAAACTTGGCTGTCTGGGTGAGCAAGGCGTTTGAAGGAAAATTAAAGGTACACTGTTTTAGAAGTGTAATTAACTTAGATAACCTCTCTGGAGGCTAACTTTATTTTTCTTTAATTTGTAGCAGGTGAAGTTGATTCAAGTGAGAAAAAAAGATTTCTAAAGAATTTGCACTGTGCTGACAGGGCAGCAAAGGTCTGTGTGACAAAGTTGTCTTGAAATAGTTCACTGGGCCTCTGAGTCACTGTTATCTGCTAGCAGTTTCCCAAGGGCCCTTCCAGTTGTATAAAGCCTTTCAAGAGGCCACAGACTATTTACATATCATTTGCATTATATTTGCATCTGCTCCTCTGTCCTTTCAGTCCAGTGGGTAGGTAGTTTTCAATTTTTTTTTTTTTTGGTTCAGGGTGGAGGGTACTGTTTTCCTTAAAGTTGCTCCTTTTCATTTCTATGCCTTGAGGCATTTTCTCCACACTGGAATGGCAAAGAACTGGAAGCCGATTGATCTGTCACACAGGTGGAAGTCCCCGAGCTGGTGGCCCAGATTGATACACAAGATCAGTATTAAACCCTCTCATTGACCTTCCGAACAAGCCAGAATAGTCTTTTTGCTGTAATCCAGTTGAGGTGTTTTGACCCCTGCTTCCTTTCAGAAAAGAGAATAAGCTCCAAGGGTTTAAAAACAAACCAAAAAGCAGTTCATAAACTGAGTGAATCCATCTCTGTTCCAGCGTCAAATGCAGAAATTCAGAAAGTTTAAGGTTTCCAAGGTGCAGGGCAGGGACCAAGCAGGTTAGGATGGAAGCCTTTTGAAAGAACTTGTTTTATGCGCCACCCCCGCGTCCTAGTTAGCATATGACTTTGCCCTCAGTAGATGATACATAAACCTTAATTAAATTGAATTGCAAACTTCTGTCATTTCTCTATAAATCTGTCATTATGTCCCGGGTTTCTTTCCCTCCAATGTCATTCCTGTTCTCTTTCCTTTGGCAGTTCACTCAGTTATCACCCTAGTCAGTACCTCCCCACACTACTTGGCACGTCTTTGGCACCTTGTAAATGGCTGAATGAATGAATCATCCTTTACTGGGATTAGTACAATGTTCTCTGAGCTGGATTTTCCTACTCAAGCCATTACCTCTCCTCTGAGAAAACAGTCTTCTAAAAAACATTGCTCAAAGTCCTGCAGTAGCTCCCTATTACCTTTTCTCCAGTCACATCTCCCAGTAAAAGCTACTTAAAATGGCTGACAATGCCTCACATGATCTGGGCCCTTCCATACCCACTGCCCATCTTGCTTGCTCTGCTTCAACCACACCGGTCTTCTTGCTGCTTCAGGCATTCTCTTGTCTCGGGATATTTGTACTAACTGTTCCCTCTGCATGGAATCTGCATCCCCTAGCTATTTTTAAAGCTAGCTCCCTGACCTTGCACATGCTGTTACTTTCTCCGTGAGTCCTGCCTTGTCCACCCTATCGGGAATTCTGCCCGTTTCTTACATCGTTTTATTTCTTGTGTCTACTTATATCTTCACCAGTTAGAATGTAAGTTCAACAAATGTGAAAGGTTTTGTTTCATTGTGTGCCCCCAGAATTAAGACATTGCCAATCACATATTTTGATTCACACACTGTGTGTGTGTGTGTGTGGTAATGCAAATATTGTCTACTCTGTTGCTGGCTCTATCACTCAGTTTTATGGTGTTCTGTATACCAGTATTGTCCTTTTTGGTGTTATTTTAGAAATCCTTTCTCACCACTAAGGTTTTGGTAAATGTAAGTTAGATGACTACCGGTTTCTTACAAATTTTTCCTCAGATCAAACTTAACCATTAAACCAGTATTTCTTAAACTTAAATAGAAGCATTGCTTCTTTAAACATCACAGCAATTATCTACAGATTTTGTTAATAAAACAGATTTTGATTCAGCACTGCTGGGGTTGGACCTGAGAAACAGGTCCCAGAAAAATGCTAATGCTTCTGGCCCTGGGACTACTCTTTGCATAGTGAGGCAATATAGAGCCACATCAGTGTTGGCATCATACCAACAACATCTTTTAAGGTATGCTTTAACACACCGTTCTACAAAGCCTGATATATTTATTTAAAGGTTATAGTTTAGAATACTGATGACTATATTCTGGCATGCATTCATTATACGGACCCACAAGAGAAATTCCTCTCAGGCCTTAGAAATTGTAAGAGCTGTGCTCCTCCTGGCAAGTGTTTTAAGTGTTAAATCTTCAGAATATAACTTTGTGTAACTGAATTGCTCACTTTATATTGACTGCCCAGAAGTATATAGAGGATAAACATATTCTCAGAATATCAAATCTATAGAGATGTACAGAGAGACAGGTTTATAGAGATGGCAAGAATCAGTCTGTCTAGAAACAACACTCAGAATGAATGGTCCATGGTTGGAAGCCTGCCTCAAGGGCTGGGGGAGAGAATAGTTGGGACAGAGAAGGGATCATTATGACAATAATGATTGGAAGGTATTGTTCCAGATTGGAGATGTGTGCAGAAAGTGGGCAAATGACCAAACATGATGGTGTTTCAGTATCTGTATTGCAAATGAAAAATGATAATGCCCAAAATGGCGGAGAAGGAGTGAGAGGGAGAGGGAAAGAAAAGTGCCTGCCATAGAGATAAGCTTGGGGGGGGGTGGTAGCAGCAGGAGGGATACAGGGGATATTGGTAGTGGGAAATGTATACTGGTGGAGGGATGAGTGTTGGAACATTGTATGACTGAAACTCAATCATGAAGGCTTTGTAACTGTATCTCACAGTGACACCGTGATTCAATTAAAAAAATTTTTTAGAGAATCATCTGTCCAGGTAATACATTTTCATTTAACTCTGCCATCCTTGAAAACTCAAAAGAAGTAGATTAGAGGGTTTGTTTAGCAGAAATCCTTGAGAGTTGGGACACTAAAGTTCTAAGAAATCAGGCCATACTTGCATTGAGTCTATTCTACTTTCTACTGATTGGTAGGAAGGTCACAGATAAAGGAAGTTAGTGTGGTATAGCGACTAATGGGAGACCTAGGGGCCATAATTAAAACAGTAAGATTGCTAATCGGTGATCTTTGCGAAAAGATTTTGTACCTCAGAGCCTCAGTTTTCTCAGAAAATAGATGAATAGGGACTAAAGAGATAATGGAGCAGGTAGGTGCTTGCTTTGCTCATAGTTTTGATCCCTTGCACCCCAAGCCTTCCGGGAGTTATCCCTGAGTACAGAGACAGGAGTAAGCCCTGAGCACTGCCAGGAGTGGTCCCAAAACAAATAAAAAAAGATGAGTGATAGTTTCCTCAATATTTATTCACTGAATGAACATCAGATTTCCTCGTGGTATCTTGCTAGATGTTAGGATTTACTGGTGAAGAAAAATCTATACAGTTGTGTTATTATATGTGCTCTGAAGTAACTGGGGATACAGGAACTAATCTGGAGTGAGGTGGAGAAGAACTTGGCATCAGTTTGTGAGGAAGGCTTCTCTCTGTGAAGTGATGTGCCTGGTTCATCACTGAAGCATGAGAATGAAGTAGCTACTTTAAGACATTTTAGACAAATAGAACAGCAAGGACAGAGACCCTAAGGGTAGGAAACTGGAGATTTCAGATAAATGGAAGGCTGCCTGCATGGCTAAAGCAGAGTCGCCAGGAACAGAGTGATAGATGTGTATAGGAGCAGGTAGGCACTGATAAAATCAGAGCCTGCCAAGCCAGGTCAAAGTTAGGAGTTTACACTTGTTTCAGGTTTCAACAGGGAAATTTCACCTTACTTTCACAAAGAACACCCTGATGTTCTATATGGACCATGAATTGAGCAGTAATAAGGGTGGCATGAGTGGATATGGTCACAAGGGTGGTTTCAACCCCTTTTATGCCAAGAAATCCTTTAGAAATCTAGTGAAACCTACCGTGCCTCTCTTTTTTTGCTTTTTGGGTCACACCCAGTGATGCACAGTGGTACTTCTGGCTTTGCACTCAGGAATTATTCCTAGCAGTGCTCAGGGGACCATATTGGA